TCACCCTACAGTGGTGTAGAACACTAGAACTTTGTCTTCCTATCTAGCTGTAATTTTGTATCCATTAACCAACCCCTCCCTTCCCCACTCATCCTTTCTATAATGATGCAAACATATTAAATCATTTCATTTCTTCCACTGAATTGGCCCTGAGGCAGCCCACTGGAGGCCACAGTCCCCCATGGAGATCAGCCAGCCTGCCCCCACCAGGTCCTGTCTGGAAACAGGGGGTGTGTGGCGTGCCCTGAAGAGTGACCCGATTCCTTCCTATCACCGGTGAGAGGATGAGAGGTCTAGCATCACATGCTCACAAAGGATCCAGAGACAAGAAGCTTCAATCCCGGGCTTCCCCGACACAATTCAGCAGAATTCCTGGCCCACCTCAGGCCCGCTCAGTCCAGATCTGTTTAACCTGTTGGCGACTGGGTGATTTTTCTCAGCAGGCAAGTTTGGGCCATGAGGATCCCCAGAGCCCTATCAGTCAGCTCTCCCAGGCTTGGGCAAGCAATGTGGCCCCAGCGCTTGCCCACTTGATCTTCTAACCCAGGGCTGTGCTTACCCAGGGTCCCAGACGTCCTCCTTTGAAAAGATGTCCAGCAGTTCGCAGGCCCAGGTTGTCTTTAGCTCCTCCCAGGGCCTCTCTGTGCCCCTCTGTGACTTCCTCTGCTGGCCCAGGTTGCCCGAAAGCCTCCTCTGAGGGCCTCCCCTAGGGGCGGCTCCCCCCGGTCCCCCAGTGTCTCTTCCGGCTGCTTTCCCAGGCTCCTCCAAGGGCCCTGACGGTCTCGGGGAGGCCTCAGAGTAGGATCCAGAGTCCCTGAGGGTCCCTGGGACACTTTCAGGGGGTCCTCAAGGTCAGAACTATTTTCATAATAATACCGAAACTTTTCTTGTACGTGTGACTTTTTAAGCTCTCATTCTCTGAGGAGGTGCCCAGAGACTATCCATGTGTGGCGAGAGCATCACCCTGACGGCTCACAGAACGTCTGCTTCTGTATTCTTGTATTTTTCAATTTTTCTCAGTCTTAATCTCGAATGCAACAGACATTGATAGATATGATCCACATAAATCAGAGCTATCTGGAGTCTGCAATAGTTTTTAAAAGTGTGGAGGGATCCTAAGGTCAGAAAGTTTGAGAACCACTGGCCCAGATGAATTTCTATGAGATATTTACTAATGGGATACACGAGTGCAGCAGACTGCCTGTGAGGGGGAGGGGCTGGGGGAGGGGAGGAGAGAGAAGAAAGAGCAAGGGGGAGGGGAGGGGAGGAGCTGGGAAGAGACCAGGAGAGGGGTGGGACAGGGAGAGGGGAGGAAGGAGATGGGGAAGGGGAGGCAGACTGAGGAAGGCTAGAAAAGGGAGTGGGGGAGGCAGGGAAGCGGGAGGGGCAGAGGAAAGAGGAGGAGATGGAAGGAGAAGGGAAGAGACAGGGAGAAGGGGTGGGAGGAGAAGGGAGAGGGAGGGAACAAGAAAGGGATCAGTGACTGACAGAGGGACAATCAGGGAACTAACCCTTCTGGAAGCTGTGCCAAAGGCTGAGGTAGGCACTTCACACTTCAGTGCTGCCCCATTCCATAGATGAGGAAACTGAGGCTGAGAAAAATTTAGATATTATCGTATGTCCTGTGAAAGCAGTAAAGCTGGCTCTGAGCCTAGTCCTCATCCTTTGTGAGAGCAAGAGCCTGGGACGCAAAGGCCTTTACTACCCAGTGATGCCTTTAAGCCACTTATAATCTAGGGAAGGGCGTGAAGGGGGTGGAAGGATAGGAAGAGGGAGCTGGGTGTGGCGTGCCTGCCCCTGGCTCAGTCCAGGAGGACAAGGATGCCAGCTGGGCCCCCATGTCTGAGAGGCTGACCGCCCACTCTGAAGCAAATATTTTTGTTTCATTTCACAAATATTTCCCATCAATGTCTCCTCCTTTCTGTCTAGACCTTCTCTTTCCTGGCCTGGAGGTGGCTGCCCAAAATTATGCACCCCTGGGGGGACTCCTTTTGGCCCCTTCACAATTGGTTTGGCAGATTTGCCCTCAAGTCCTCTAGAAAAAAAAATCCTGATTGTAAAACCACACTCAGCATTATTTTCAATATGCAAAATACTGTATAATAATACATGGAGTTTATCCTTGGGTCTCCTCCACACGATGCGGTATATTCCGAGTCAAGTATTTCATCAATAAACACTAAACAACACCCACAGGCTTATGAGAGCACAGACTTACAGGGGAGGTGGCTTACTGCCCACGGGCGAAAGCGAAAGTGTTCTACGGAATGCCTTTGTGTGCCCTTCAAGGTGCTTTTTGGATTGGAAAATCGTGGGCTGTTTTGCACATATCCTCAAGATGCTCTCCACCCCTCCAAACCGAACCTGGAATTTGCTTCCTCTGCGTCTAGGCGACCTTTCCTTTGCTGTCTTCCTTGACTCCTGGGAGCCAGAAGGCCCAGTCAGAGTGCAGAGACAGAAAAGGGTCTGTGGGAGAGAGGGGTGGGGATGCCATCACGAGGAGGCCAGCCGGACCAGGGGCCACTCTGGAGCATTCTAGAGTAGAGCTGGGAAATTCCATGGGACATACTCTGGGGCCGGACCCCTTCAGCAGCAGACAGGAGCTGTGAGACATTGGGCCCTTGCTGAGCCCCTGCCCAGACTGCAATCCACCAGAGTTCAAAACTGTCCCTC